CCCTACAGATTTCAGCGGGGAGTTTCGTCTGATAAAGGTGATATATCTGTGCCCTGAATACTATTTCCTACCCTTCTAGAGCATCTCAAATTTATTATTTCCCTGTACCTTCCAAAAGCATACCTTCAAAACACTATTAAGATGGCACTACATATTTATGCATTTATGTATCTGGTGCCTGCCACTAAATGAAACAGACATGCATCCTCTATTGAGAAATGATCACTGAATGCTTTTTTTCTAATTTTACACCTTATTTACACCGTACTTACTACCTAAAAGGAAAACTCTTATTTGAGTACTACTGGATTTTTTTCCCTTCTTTTTCCTTTTAGGAGGACCGCATAAAATGCAACTGAAACCAGTCAAATATTATTTAAGACTTCTACACAAAGTGCTGAAACCGTTCCACTGTTTGGGTTTAGATTGATAATATATAGCTGTTGCTGGACAATCCTAGACTAATCCTTCCAGTAAATGCTTCTGCAGAAACTTAGCTATCCCGTTGCGTTACAAAAACACCACAGAAGGTAACACGAGTCACCACAGAAAAGGAGTGCGCTGGCTGCAGGTATCCCAAAGCGTATGTTAAAAAACCTAAAGCCTCCCAAAAAGATGTGAAAAAGCAGCTTCCAAACCCCATTTTCAGGGTGCACTTCAGCTTCCACAAAGCGAAAGCACACAGAGTAGGGACCAGCGAGGCGCCCAACGTGCTCGCGTCTCTCCAGAGCCTTTCCACACTAAGACAACTCAAACAAACCCGTATTTACATTACAGATTTACATTCTGACAGTCCGGGGGCCTGATCCCTTGGTCCTTATTCAGAATCTTCCCAGTTCCCTGGTTGGTAATACTGGCCACACACAGTGGGTCCACGTCTCCCCCAAGGCTTTCACGGAGACGATTCTCCAGTGCTTATTCCCAAACCGTGGCAAGCTAGGTAAAAGCTGCCTATTCTTCTTCTTCTTCTTATTATTATTATTATTATTACTGTTGTTATTATTATTATTACCACCACTACAAGTACTACTGCTACTACTGCTATTAAGGCACGGTTGCAAAGGAGAATTGATTCCAAAATAAGCTGCAAACTGTGCGGCTCATCTTCCAGCTTTGTAGCTGTATATCACTATTCTTTTGTTTAAGGAGAGCATTCTCTAAACAAACCTTGCACAAAAGATTTCAGTAATTAGTGATGGATTGAGGCAATGTAGCCAGTCAGATATGGCTGGCCTCTGATCTAGAACGAGCTGATCAAACACCACTCAGATAATTATTTCAGACACTGTACAGTAATCACCAAGCCCAAATGTGAACACTTACAATCACAACAGGTATTACTTTCTGCACTAGAAGACAGACTCATCACCTATAGATGTCAAAAGTAATATGGATAATGCGTAAGCTCCCAACAGCAATCTAACCTCCTGATGCCAGGAGGCACCAATATGGACCTGTTCAGCCTTTCAAGAGAATCACCAGTCTAGCGTAGCAAGCCATCAACTCAAAGAAGCTGCAGTTTGCAGTTGAAACATAACTTGTGAGAAAGTACAACTGGAATACAGCAGTTTAGGTATTTCTCAGGTGACCAGCATCCTCAACGAAATAAATGGCGAGTTGTGCACTATCTCCCGGGGACCAGGCTTGCGCCCATACTAACTGGGGACTGAGCTCTGGTTTGTATTCCTCCTTCCCTCAACTCCCAGGCTTTAAAAGGAGTGAGAATACTTTCCAAATGGCCAATCCAGGCACATTCATCTCATCACCTGTCTTTAAATCTTCAAAGACTGCTTTTGAAAAATATTTTAGAGAACAATGCTAGAGAGCTGTTAGGGTTGGTTTTTTTGTTGCCCCCAAATCAACTTCAAAGTAGACATACAGAGAACCTCACCACAGTTATTTTCCATTTAGGATAAATTATTTTAGCGTTTCTTAAGAAATCAAACAAGTTGAATCTCTCATAAATCTTCACTTTCCTGGACTGGTAAGCAAGCAGGTGACACAGATGGCACTGAAGAAAAGGCTGCTTCATGGATGACGGTACGCTCCCTACAAAGTACTCTGAGGTTACTAAAATGCTCCAAAGAACGACAGGCTGTGGGCTCAATCCACCAACTCAGATGAGCAGCCTTTATTCATGTTAGAAACACCGCTGAAATGAAAGGGATTGAAAGAGTACCAACTAGTCATGCTGAAAATAATGACTGATAAATATTTTTTAATAGATATGTGTATTGGAGAAATGGTCATTGCCCCAGTATTCCACAAATGAGGTTTTAAATAATAAGTACCTTTCAGCAGTACTTATCAATATGAAAGCACTAAGGTACTGTGTTTGTTGCTGCTTTTGAAGTGTAAGTCCTCACCGACTTCAACAGGGAATAAAGCTTAAAAGGGTGTGCCTCCACAGGAGAGGATATTTTTGTTGTTTGTTAAAACTCGACCACTTTATGAATGTCAGGAAGCTACACCAAAATTTTATCATTACTCCCGATTATTGAAAATTTTAAATGTTAAAACATTAAGCTAAAAATTTTGGGGGTTTTGTTTTAGTTCTAGCATATACCTATTCATGAAAATATGACATTTTCCCACGTTTCCTTATGTTTTATAGCTTGCTTTTATTTTCTGATATATTACAAAGTGATTAAATC